AGTTGGAGTTGATTAGGATTTCTAGGATTTTATTTCCTAGTTTGAGAATTAGTAAATGGGTATTTAAACCCCTTGTTAGGATTCATTCTTGATGATCTGGGAATAAAATTGGAGTTTAGCCTTATGGCTCTGGGCAATGGTATTTTTATCGTTGATTATCTGGGCAACGGGTTACCCTGTCGATTTTTATTTTTCTGTTCTCAACACCTCAGGAATAGTTTATTGAGAACTAAATTGGATCCAAATTACATAGTCGAGTCCAGGAAAAAATAAAGGTCACAACTGGGTAATAATGTACAATTGAAGAACTTAATTTGGCATTAGCTTAAGTTAGAATCTGCCGCTCTGGGAAAGTACTAGTTAACATGCTTTAACTTGCCTGCTCTATAGATCTTTGAGCTATAAGGCGACGATAATCTATTTCATTTCCAATCAGAACACATTTACAGTGATCCTCAAGTTTCTGTACTAACTTGTCAAAGATTTCCCATTGCATACCATCCTGAACAAAGAACAGTAATTTTAGTAAAATCATTGGGCAAAAATTATGATAACAAAAAATCTAAACTGTCTAGAACATTTCTTCTCAGATCCAAATTTCATGGATATCATTGTACAACTAAGATAATAAAAAAAGGGGTGCAGATCTAATAAGATCTTTAAGTATGTAACACACTTGCAAAGGAAGATTTCAGGTGTACCTGATTTAAGTCTCTTGGTTCACGATTACTGGTTGCCACAAGAACAGTTCCCACGCTCAGTAATCTTCTAACAATTCCAGACAAGGCCACAATAGCAAAAACATCAACAGTCTGTATTTTAAAAAAAAAATATACCAATTAGAATCAATAATCTGTCTTTCACTTTTACATGAAGGTTACAAAGAAACGGATTTGAATTCTCATTAAGACATTTTAGAATCTTTCACCTTCTGTAACCAATAAACTCATCTTCCATCCATGAACAATAATAATGGATGGAAAGGACAGGTTATCTTAGTTAGTGTTATGTACATTGTGTCTCGCCAAAATTTTAGTAGGTAAAAAGCAGGTGTTGTTCAGTATTCAAGTTTGCCATTAGAGTAGTTGGGAGTCAAAACTGGGAGGAGGTTAAGGTTGGAGATAGATAGTATTTCTGCTAATTTTAGGATGGTGGGAGCTATGTGAGAACATTGACTCTGAGGTTAGGAAAGCACATACAGAAAGAATATGAAAGGATAACAGAAACAATAATTCTACATGTACATTTATTATATACATTTTTGTGTACATTCTTAGTTCGCATGTGTTCATTGGGTAATGCAAAGCTCTCTAGCATTTCATCGTCCAATGAACACAAGCCAACTAAGTATGTACAGAATATATGTACAAAACAAATGTAGATGTAGACATGCTCAAACAGAAGCGTACAAAGGCATACTTGGTAGTTGGTACACCATAACAAACAACATTTTGCCAAAAAAAGGGAAAATGGAAACTAGTAATCCAACCTTTCAGCAGTCTTTTTACAATAGTCCCACCTTTTCATTTTTCAAGAATAATCCAACTTTTGCACCTCATCTTCATTCGTTGGTCCTTGACCGGTTAGTGACCTGTTATTTCAAGTTATTTTCTTATCTTTGCAAAATATTATCTTTGTGAAAGGTGAGATTTATGGTATAATGGTTTGCAAAGATAAGAAAATAACTTGGAATAGCAGGTCATCAACCGGTCAGGGACCAATGAATGAAGATGAGGTGCAAAGGTTGGATTATTCATGAATAACGAAAAGGTGGGACTATTGTAAGAAGAACGCTGAAAGGTTGGATTATTAGTTTCCATTTTCCCAAAAAAAATATATCAAACCTACGGTGGGGTAAGGGGTGTCAGATGTACGCAGTCTTACCCATGTACTAAAGCACAGAGACACTGTTTCCGGATAACCCATGATGAAAATTGTGTTGAAAATTGCATGGACTGACCGTTGTTTCATAACAGACAGTTTAGTGAGCCATTTTGCTTTATTCCATCATACTTGATACACCATATCAAACAGGAGGAAAATGATTGTATTGTAAGGTTCCGTACAGTTCCGTACAGTTTGGGCCATACAGATGTGGGCCCGCGCGCGCCCTAGTTATTTTAGGGGTTAAGTTTTACTCTCTATAAATACAAGCTCTCTCCCTTGTAATCACTTGATCCGAAATATTAATAACATTCCTGGCTTGGTAGCGCCCCCAGACGTAGTCCTTTGTGGCGAACTGGGTTACCAAATTTCGTGTGTTCTTTCTTATTGTTCTTCGCGTTGCGTTAATTAAATCCTAACATGTATTGCACCAAAGGGTGAAAGACACACTGAAAGAAGAAGAGAGACACTGAAAATAGGTGTGAAGCTAAAAAAAATGATCAGGGAGGGGGGATCAACGATGGTGACATTGACTTTGAATTCCCAGATAAAAGCTTCATTGGTCATCTTGTAAATCAGGTGGGAGGAAACTGACCACCTTCAAAGGTAAATTCTTGGAAATTCATTATGGTACAATGAATTTGTACCATGAGATAATGACGTCAGAAAAAACTAGTTCAATAAAAACACATTAATAATAAATTAATAGTGTCATATTCTCTCTTGTTCATTTTCGCTCACTTTTTCCCTACCATGGTCTACTTCTGTTAGGGAGTGGGAGGCAGATGGGCCGAGGCTCTAGGAGGCAAACGGGCCAATGCTTCAGGAGGACGGGCCTCGCCCATTATTAGTTTATGGGTTGCTGTCAGTGGACCTAATTGGGCTGGGTTGACTGCTGGGTTTCATTACTTTATTTCAGTCTATTGTTATGTCTAATAAACTGTTGGGCCTATATGGTCATATTTTATTATTAGGTTAATGGGCCTAGATGGCCATATTTTATTATTAGGTTAATGAGTATTTAAGGAGGTCTTGTGAACGATTATTCGATATCGAGAATAAAGATTTGGTTTGAGCCTAAGGCTGGGCAGTCGTTAACACCGTCTGCTAGGGTTTCTTTTTCTGCTTCTATCAATTTGGTCCGACCTGCCGGATCCTATCCACCGCCCTACGTTCATCATGACTCGTTCCACCATTGATCAACGCATAGATGCGATAGAAGCAGACCAGAAGGACATCAGGGCAGAATTGCAATCCACCAACGCAAAGTTGGATGCTATCACGCAAACCCTAGACAAACTGGCGCAGAAGGTTATGGCGTCGGGGGGGACGCTGGCTGATTCTGAGTCAGGAGGAGGAGGAGGCACGGCTGACTCGCAGAACTCCCTCAACCCTAGGTCTGTGACCGCGCCTCGGATGCTACCGGCGTTTGAGGGGGCAGACCCGATTGGATGGCTTGCCAGGGCCAATCAGCAGTTTGAAATACATCAGACCCGACCTGAGTTGAAGGTGGCGTCAGCCATGGTAGCAATGGAGGGTCCTGCTTTGTACTGGTTTTCTTGGACACGGTCGCGGAAACCAGGCATAGCTTGGGAGGAGTTTTCACAAGCCCTTGTAGCCCGTTTTGATACTCGGTTCAAAGGGAGCACGTTCGAACGGTTGGCTGACGTTAAGCAGACAGGATCCATGGATGACTATGTAAATTTGTTCGTGCAATTAGCCAGTCAGGTCCCAGGTTTGAGTGATGCCCACTACTTGGGGTACTTTATGAAAGGGCTACAGGACACCATTCGCAGTTCCTTACGGATCCTACGCCCAACTGATTTGGAAGCTGCTATGGAGTTAGCAAGAGATATCGAAGAAGACTTGGCCGTACAGTCCGGAGGGAGATCAGAATGGGGATACGACAATCAGCAGTGCCGTTCCAGTAATTACACCAAAGTTGGCGGGTTTTCGGGGCTCTCTTCCACGCCAGTTACTGGAAACCAAGGGGCAACAGGAAGCACAACTTCCTCGCGATCTCCAGGTAGTAGCTCGGGGTCCGGGTCAACCATGACTGGCCAGTCGGAGAATCGCTCTCGGTTCACACGCCTCTCACCGCAGGAATTTGCAGACCTACGTGCAAAAGGGCTTTGTTTCCGTTGCAAGAAGCCCTATACCCCCAGGCATGAATGTCCCCTAAAACAGTTAAGAGTAATGGTTGTCGAGGAAGATGAGGAACTCGACCTCAATCAAACTGAATCTTTTATCCCGCCCGAAGAGGTTGAGCAGCTAGGGGAACAGAAGGAGAAACAAGCAGCAGCTTCTTCACTCCAACCTTGGGGACAAGGTTGTTTTGGAGGGGGGGGAAATTGTTAGGGAGTGGGAGGCAGATGGGCCGAGGCTCTAGGAGGCAAACGGGCCAATGCTTCAGGAGGACGGGCCTCGCCCATTATTAGTTTATGGGTTGCTGTCAGTGGACCTAATTGGGCTGGGTTGACTGCTGGGTTTCATTACTTTATTTCAGTCTATTGTTATGTCTAATAAACTGTTGGGCCTATATGGTCATATTTTATTATTAGGTTAATGGGCCTAGATGGCCATATTTTATTATTAGGTTAAGGAGTATTTAAGGAGGTCTTGTGAACGATTATTCGATATCGAGAATAAAGATTTGGTTTGAGCCTAAGGCTGGACAGTCGTTAACACCGTCTGCTAGGGTTTCTTTTTCTGCTTCTATCAACTTCTGTGTTGGATTTTGCACTAATTCTTTTAGTCTTAAAAATATTTATAAATACTATTAAAATCATCTCATTTGTTTTATTAAGATAAGAATAGTACATCATGTGATATCTGTACTCTAAAATTCTGACGGCCATTTTCAATTGTACATGAATTGCTAGCTTAAAAAAGGTGAATGCAAATCAAATTGACAAAAAGAGGAGCTTTTCCATTAAAATTTGCTACAAATTGTACAACAGCTTCTTAATAATGTAGTTATTGACAGCCATCCCTTGTTCACACAAATATTTAACATGCATATGAAATCTCTAGTACTTGTATGACTTTTACGGTTTAAGCTTTCTTGAGACCAGAAACTACTGACTACATGCATAATGCATTATGTTTGCCTTCTTTAGTGTTACAGCTATTTACCTGTATCTCATCGAAGCAAAGAATGCTTGCTCCTCCCTTGTTCCCCTCCTGGTTGACAAGAAATTTGTCAGCAACATCAAGAAGGATATTCTGCATTTGAATCTCTTGCTTATATTTTTCTTCACCAGCTATCCATTCTTTGACTTTTGTATCTAATGGAAGGTTCATGATCCAACCAGAAATGTTTGATTGTTGATATTTTTGCTCTAATTGACTCTTCCAAGTCCTATGCATGTGTTGATGAATTTCAAGCATAGCCTGCCAATTCAGCCCACTACATCAAGTCAATTGCATGTAAAGATTCCAAATTTAAGGAACCAAAATTATCTAATTTATTGGCAATTTCTTCAAGTTTTGGTGTGGTTCGCTTCCATCCAAGATTCTATAGGGTCATCATAATGATCATGAGCAAGCACTTGCCTCATGAAAGTGGAACCTTCTTCGATGTTTCACAATTCCTTCTGTGGCACCATAAAACATATCCATAAGCATTGTCTTCCCTGCAGAATGCAGAAAATAGAGTCAGACAGTTATTTTTGAGAATAAAATCAACTGGGGAATGCATCAGACTGCACTACATAAGATGGTCACCCCGTTTAGGTGATGATTAATGTTAAACACAAGATGGGAAAGTTACTAAATACTACACATCAGGGGAAATTGCATAACATATGATGTATGATCACACCATATAAAAATAATAAACACAACAAAACATTAAATGGCTATTAAAGCATGTGAAATCAGGCATGGTAAGATATAAGAAGTGTTTTCCACACTTGTGTACCACTTATATGGAAGCATTGAACTTAAAGATAGAAAGCGGGGAAGGCAGAGCTTCAAGTAAGAAGTAACAAACACTATTTTCATTATTTGCAGACTGGTTTTACAAAATTAATTTATTAATGAACATGTAAATAGCAAGTAACTCAATTCATCACCAACTCTTTATTCCTTCTGACCTTACTTTATTAACAAGAAAATTGCAATGAGGGGATCCAGTGTATCACTTTACCAATATGCTTGCATGAATGAATTTATAGTGATGTGTTAGCTAACCATAGCTTCTAAACAAATTTCACTCCACCGACCCCCAAGAGTATGGAATAAGGTGATGATGAACAATTTATAAAGTAATAATCATTCTAACAAAAAGGCATTGAAGCTTACCACTTCCAACATTCCCATACAGATATAGTCCTTTTGGTGCTGGAGGAGCACTTGGACGGAAACCAACAACTGAATCTAACTTCTTCTCACGGTTTAAATATGAAACCCATTTTCCCACACCTGATTCCACACTTCCTGGTTTTTTCCTAAGCCAAGAAAAACGACATGTCAATTATGCATCACCTTGAAAAACTATCTGGTAACAAAAAATCAAATGTAAAGTGAATTAATAGAAAGATGTCAACAGGACATATTTCGTATTGAAATGTACTAATGAAGCTATAATGTTAGTTTACATACAATTCAAACAAATATATCATCTGATATTTTCATATATTCTGCTTGTAGTTTAACATTAATTCTTTAAAGTATGAGGTTCAAACTGAAGTCCAATGCTACAATAAAATTTATAGTATTCTTATCCATCTGATGCAAAACATTAACTGAAGATTTAGGTGACAATTCAAATAGTACTTGTTAGAAAATAAATGGGAAAGAAAGATAAGCTTACAAGTCTCATAATATTACTTTGTGAGAAAATACCATAAAAGGAAAACTCATGCAGATGTTCCAACAAATTTGTTAAATCTTGGAGGTCAATTAGAACCAAAAAGCAACGAAGTCAGGGAAATACTTCTGACTGCCCAATGCTATAAAAGGCAATCAAAATAAATCTATCCATTAAGTTGATGAAATGTTTTGTTTTCCCACAGCCCACCACAATATGTTTCTTCCTTTTCTCACCTATATATCCATTTCTTTAGAGCACTTTGATGGTTGTTAGTGGAGTTCAATGCATTTTGCTGATTTGCCTCTTCCATGAGAAGCCTGCGCCGCTCATTTTCCCTATTCTCCTCCCATTTTGCAAGATTAAACTAAAAAAAACAAATTGGAACATAAGCATAAATTGCATTGCATTAATTATTTAGTTAATTAAGAACAATTAAAATTGATTGATATCCCACATGGTATTCCTCCATGTCCTTGTCATACTGCTTCAATCTTCCAAGCAGATTTTCTAGTTCAACAGCAACCTTTTCTTGGTAAGAATCATGTTGCAGCTTCCCTTGATCGACAAGGCTCCTATAATATGCAAGCACTCCTGAGGTTAAAGATGCAATATTGAGATTAGAGCTACACAAGAGTAACCTAACCGGCATAACCCGGCCGACCCAGACCTATCCAGCAATTTTTAATTGGGTATTTGATCCAAAAAACTAACCATGCGTTGAATATGCGCAAACCCATACCTAACGTGTCGTAGTGTTGCAGAATTAAAATCTCAAATCTGATAGTAGCCGTCCCGGCCAACAGAAGGTTACTTTACTTGGCTGTTGATGAACTTTGTTTCGCTTCATTTTACAATTATTATGCTGCAATGTTTTGTTGAATATTTTCTACTTAAGAATGCTATGCTCTTTCTAAGACTTTAAGTGATTGAAATTATAAATGTTTATCACCTTGACTGCTTGATTTATTACATTTGTTTCTAAATGAACTTCCTTTACAAAAGGTTTAAGCTAATTAAAAGTTGATTTTTTTGTGTATTTTGGAAACAAGTTAGCCGAGTTTAAAATTGGCTGTGTCAGTTGCCTACATTAAAGGTCCAACCCGAATTGATTTTTTTTCAATACCCGACCTTATGATCAAACAGCAACAACATAAAGAAAGTTGTCAATGTCTAGCCATCCTATATCGCTCTTTGTCCATTCCAATATCTTACTAACGCGAAGAAAAGAAATGGGTCTAATCTAAAACAGTTTCACATCACTAGCTCTTTCAGCCAAATAATAGGTTAGGCTAAAGTTTTAACTCTGGCTATGTTAATTTTAACTCTATGAGCAAGCAGAAAGATAAATTTATTAAATTATGACATGATACAAATCTGTTTTTCTAGTATGGTATACTTCAAATTAAACTCAAATGTTTCATAAAATACTGTAGGAGTCTTTTGCTATTGGATATGGATCATAAGTTTATACGTAGTATTAGGCAGCGCTTGCTGTATTTTGAAACTGCAGTTTAATCAGTAATAGCTTCAGGAGTTCAGCCATTCAAGGTCAGAATATTTACAACAGCTAAACAGAAGTGAAATAGGCATAAAATTGCTACATTGTAAACCTCTCTAAAACGATGCAATTGTTTTCAAAATAAAAATCAGCAAAGAGATGAATAATTCTGTAAGGAATTAGCTCATGCGAATTTGAAGAGATGAAGCGGACCAGGGTGTGGGCGATCACAGTAGAACCGCAGCGCATTGACTCTCAGATCAGAGGTTCCACGTAGGAGCTCTGGAAAAATCGAAGCTGAGAACTTTTTCATTGCAGGGATTTATTTTTCCGATTTTGATTTATTAATTACAGAAGCTTGGTATAATCCGGAAAGAATGGTGCGCGAAGCCAAGAAAGGCATCGGTTCTGCATAGCATTTGCTGAATCTGATGAGATCGTCGCTGAGAGTGGAACAGCGCGGCAAAGAAGAAACGATTGACGTGGCAGTTGAATAGACCACCCATTTTTAAAAAAGTTTTTCACAAATATTAGGGGTGGGCGCGGTCCGGTCCGGTCCAATATTTGGCCGAACCCGTACCCGTACCGTTACTATTCAAACGGTTCGGTTCGGTTCGGTTTGGTCTTAGACCTAAACCCGTTCGGTACGGTTTCATTTTGAAACGGGACGGTACCATGTCATACCAATACCAAACAATGCCACTTTTTTCAAGTGCTTAAGAGGAAATTAAAGTTTATTCATCCTCCAAAAATCGACACAATTTATCAATTTTCATACTCATTTTATCCCAAATTGACATGCAAAGTCAATAATTTTTTTGCCAACCATGTTAAAGTTAAATTCTCTTGATTGATAATTGATTTATTTTTTAATAATTAAAATAAACATATTCAGAAACTACATTGAAATCTCTTCAAGGTTGCAAGCTCCAAATTAAATATAATTAAAAAGTGACATTCTAGTTAAGTGAATAAAATGAAACTGTTTGACCTAGAAAAGTTAATTTTGCAAATCAATTTGGGATGAATGTAGTATTTTACATAATTAATAAATTTCAGATAAATTATAGTAGTACAAATATAAATAATTAAACCACACATCGGTCCGATTCCAGGCTTCCTGTCAATTAGCAAAGACGGTGAAAGTGTGAAGACAGTAGTCAAAGTAAGGGTATAAATGTAAATTTAAATCATTGAATCATACTTCGGTCTGGTTCGGTCCGGTACCGATTCTCATTTTATGAGAACCGGTCATGGCATTGTCTAGAATCGATACGGTTCGGTTCGGGACAAAAAAAATTGAGATCCGTTTCAAACCTCATTTTTCGGTCCAGTACCATATCGGTTCGGTTCGGTACCATGCCGGTTCGGTATTTTTGCCTGTCCCTAACAAATATTATTGAAATAAAATTTACTTACAAGAGGGGAAAAAAGTAATACTCCATCCGTCCCAAAACCCCAAAATGATGGTCCTCTATTTCCTTTTTGGGATGTTCCAAAATGATGATCTTGTTTCCCTTTTTGGAAAGAGAGCTGTGGTCCACGTTATTTCTCCTTTTTCTACTCAAATCTCAATCACAACTTTTACCTTTTCAACCATTTTATTAAAATTTGTGTCCAAAAGAAATGACACCATTAAATTGGGACGGAGGGAGTATATTGTAATCACATGGTTATATTTACTAAAAAATTAACGTAAGTTATTATAGTTAAATTACTATTATAATCACTATATTTAAAAAGAAAGAATGACAAAACCGAGACCCCCGACTTTTGGTTTGACAAAAATAGAACTCATTTCAGTCCGGACAAAAAAGAGAGTGGAATAATCCCCAAACTCTAAACAGCTTCTGCACTCACCCTGTTCGACATTCGCAAGTGCAGAACCAAATTCTCATCTCTGCAACAGGCCACCGACCTTCAATTTGGAGCCCATAGTAGCTGACCTTACCCGCTCGTTCTTCAGCTTCCACTGTCGTCGCTCAGCACTACATCGTCGCCACTCATCGTTCCTTCTCCGGCCTTTATCAATTTTATTGTTGCTCACCTCACCGGCTCACCATTCGACTTCAGTCCCCATCTTCGCAACTGTAGCTCTTCACCGCCCCTGTTTTCTTCTCTTTCTGTCTCGACGTTTTTGCCAAATCAGAACGCCACTGAAGTTGGATCGATTGAGATCTCATTTTTGTGCGGCGCTGCTACAGTGGTTTTTTGTGGTGCGAGGGTTGGGGATCGACGGCTGCGAGGCTGGGAAATACTTATGCGGGGGCAGATTGAATCTGGAGAGGGCTGCGACGCTGCAGCGATTAGGGGCTAGGGTGGGCTGCGGTAAGGGCAGGGGCGGGTGTCCGGAAGAGGTAGGTCGCCGGTGGCTGGTTTTGGCGACGGCGGCGGGTTTTGGCGACGGCAGTCACAGCTGGAGGCGGCGGCCAGTCACCTATGGTTGTGGTAGCGGTGGTCGATATCCAATCCGGAGTAACTCTAACCGATAGTTTGTGTAAGTGTAATTGGAGGACCGGGTAACCGTAAGTGACATGTAGGGTAAATATAATTGACGGCGGGTTGGGTAACTGTAACTGGACGGGTCGGGTAATTATAATTGGTTGAGTCATGTAACTGTAACTGGACGGGTCGAGTAACTGTAACTTTAACTGGACGGGTCAGGTAACTGTAACTGGACGGGTCAGGTAACTGTAACTCGACAGGTCGGGTAACTGTAACTAGACGGGTCGCGTAATTGCAACTGGACGGATTGGGTAACTGTAACTGGACGGGTCGTGTAACTGTAACTGGACGGGTCGGGTTGGGTAACTGTAACTGGACGGGTCAGGTAACTGTAAGTCTGTAACTGGCCGGTTCGGGTCACTGTAACTGGACTGGTTGGGTCACTGTAATTGAACGAGTCGTGTAACTGTAACTGACGGATTTTTGGATTTTTTGTCCCAAATGATTTTTGGTCACTGGGTGGATTGGTCATGGTCACTAGTCAGATTGGTCACTGGACGGGTTGACGTTGGTAACTAGGTAAAATTTTTGGTCACTAATGATTTTGGTCACTGACGGATTTTTGGATTTTTGGTCACAAATGATTTTTGGTCAC